GAAATTATTATTAAAAAATAAAGTACACAATTCAATGGCTTTTAGCATATCCACGAAGTTGTACAACCATCACCACTATCTAATCATAGAATATCTTCATCACCCCAAAAAGAAAGCCCATACCCTTTAGCCATCATCTCCTAGTTCCCAATTTTTAAAAAAACCTGCCACCACACAGCCCCTGGAAACCACTAATCTGCTTTCCTTCTCTATGACTATATCTTTTCTGGACATTTCATATAAAAGGAATCATAAGTATGTGGCTCTTTGTGTCTGGCTTCTTTCATTTAGTATAATGTTTTCAAAGTTCATCCATGTTGTAGCATGTATCAGAACCTCATTCCACTTTGTGGCAGAGTAATATTCCATTGTTCATCCATTCCTCAGTTGATGGACATTTGGATTGTTTCCACTTTTTGGCTATACTGAACAATGTGCTATGAACATCCGTGTACATAACTCCACTGTCTTATGGATAAAGCACTTCCTTTTTTTTTTTTAAAGATTTTATTTATTTATTTGTCAGAGAGAGAGTGAGAGAGAGAGGCAGGCTGAGAGAGAGATGCAGGCTCCCTGCTGAGCAAGGAGCCCGATGTGGGACTTGATCCCAGGACCCCTGGTATCATGACCTGAGCCGAAGGCAGACACTTAACCGACTGAGCCACCCAGGCATCCCTGGATAAAGCACTTCCATTGGCTAAGTCAGATGAGCAGGGGCATGGGTAAGTGGGAGGTGGGTGGCCATTCATTGTTGGGTGTGTCTTTTCCGCTGAATTCTTGTTAATTTTAGCATCTTGGGTGCTCATGGTTGTAGACCACAGAACGGAAGCTGTGGATTCCTTAGCAGTTTTTGGTTGTAACAACAAACTGTTGTTGAAACCTACTTATCCCTTGCTACCAAAACACTAAAATACCCAATCTGCTTCTCACCTGAAGCCCTCTGATAAGAAGATGCTGTTACATGGAAATGTGCTTTAAAAGTTCACCAGCCTCTAGTGGAGAAGAGGGTGGGGACAGGTGTGGAGGAGGGGAGAGAAACTAAAAGCTGCCCCTTACAACTCCCTTACTTAACCTTGTAGACACTGCAAGGCCATCCAGGGTTGTGAACTTCTGCTCTGGTTATTCAGAGGAGAAAAAAAAAAATCACTCCTGGTCAAGTGTATTTTTCAAGACCAGTTAAGTACAAAATTAAAATAACGAGAGGGTCATTATTTCATGCAATTGTGAAGTCCAAGGATATTCTACCTTCAGGTATGGCTTGATCTAGGTCATCTTGATATTCTTTCTCCCTCCATTTCTCTGTCTCTTATCTCCACTTTCCTCTCAATGGGCTGCTAGTAGCAAGAGGTTTACACTCTTCCAGCCTAGCAGCCTCGCTGAAACTAGAATCTTTTCTCCAATAGTTCCAGCAAATTCCCTCACTGGTCTCAAGTGTGTCAGGCCATTCTTGAATCAATTGCTATGACTCTGATAGATAAGTCTGGGGGGGCTACTCCCAAAAAGGAAGAACTGGATTCTGTTACCAGAGGTAGAGATGCAGTGCAAACAAGAACAACAGATGTCTCCTACAGTAGTCAGGGAAGGTGGTTAAATCTTAAAAGCTGGGTAGGCAAAACCAGAAGAGGAAGAAATGAGCCTGTACTTATTCTGGGGAGTACCGTATCAGTGCAAACCTTCTCCCCAATTTCCTCCCAACAAATCATCTTTCTTCACTGCAGGCTTCCGTCATGGGCCAAGTGAGGTCTTAAGATATCAGCAGACTCCCCAGGTCTCCACAAAAATCTGAGGATGCTGTGAACATAATGTCTCCAGCCCCTTCTCATTTCAGAACTTCCAAACAAGAACTTTCCTGTGCAGAGTACAGGGAAGACAAGCCAATTTTCTGTTTTTGGTATTAAATTTAGACCTTTCATCCTGACCATGAGATATTTCTGGATTCTGCATGAGTATTCAGAGAATGCCAGTTTTCAAGATGCTATCCCATCTGGGGCTACTCTGCACACTGCCCACTTTATCTCATTCTTTTAAAACTGGGAAAAATGACCCAGACACAGGAACAAATTCGGAAGTGGGTTATTCTGCTATTCATTAATTGTCACTTAATGCCATTGCCATCTAGGTTACTAGG